CACTGCTTTCTGAAAAAGTAGGGAAGTATACATAGAGTTAACACATTACATATCATAAAGCTGTGTAATGACATATACCCCTTTAGGTTAAACCATATTTGGATAAATATATATATATATATGCAACATAAATACATATCAAACCTTTAACATGAATATGTAATGCTAAACATGACAATATGTTAAACCACTTATAAAGAAAACAAAGATATATTTATATAACATACTTTGGTGATAATATACATAGAAATAATTAACAATTAATATGATAATGGTGAATACCTTCTTCAAAGCAGTCTTCCCCTTTTCTCCTCCTTTCTTTGGTTTTTCCTCCTTTTCCTCTTCATCTGTTTCCTCGTCATCATCATCTTCTGCTGCCTTCTTGGATGCTTTCTGAAAAGGGAGGGCAGATACATAGTTATAAACTGACATATCACATACTAATGTAAGGACAAACATGATTATAAGTTAAACCATATTCGCATAAATATACATATATAATATCAATACAAATCAAACTAATAACATAAATATGTAATGACACACATAACAATAGGTTAAACCATATATAAATCATTATCGTTGTATTTGTATATCATAATTTGGTGATCATATACATACAGATAAATAACAATTAATATGATAATGGAATACCTTTCTTCAAAGCTGTCCCCCCCTTCTTTCTACCCTTGGGTTTTTTCTTTGGTACGTCCTCATCTTCCTCTTCCTCTGTTTGTTCTTCATCATCATCTTCATATGCCTCCTTACATTACAATTTTTTGTAATGACACACAGGATTATAGGTTAAATCATATTTGCATAAAGATACATATATAACATAAATAAATGTATATAACATCACATCAGTAACATAAATATGGTGAATACCTCAGGCAACCCTTTCTTCACCTTCTTTTTCTTTTTTATTTCTTTTTCACTATCAGATTCACTTGCAAAATCATCAGCTCCAAGGTCTGATTCCTTCTCATAATCACTGTTACTCTCATCCTCTTCAACTTTTTCTTTACCCTTTTTTCGCATACCCATGTCTTCATAGACGTCTGCCAAAAAGCTGCCCATCAACCTCCACATCTCGTTCATGGCAGCACCCCATCTACCAATCTTATCTTGAATGACGTCAAATGCTTTCTCAACAACTTGAATATGTTCTGGTGGCTTTTTTCCAGCTATGTGAGCCTCTTCCGTGTCAATCACCGCCATCAACTACAACACAAAACGTTATCATATTTATTGTAGGTAATGAAAATATAAAAACGTACGCCACAGAAAAAACAATCAAAATACAAAAAAACAAAAAAAATATCCAGGACGACACTTACTCTACTTGTTTTGTATCCATCCTGTAAGCCGCTGATATATTCGTGCAAAGTCTTCATATTTGTATCATTCCAGTCTCTAACCCTAGGCAAGTCATATTTCCAGATGTTGTACAGTCCATTTCCATCTCGAGGAGAATACACACCGAATAGTGCTTGTATATGCATCAACAATCAATTTAATGCATACTGTCCTGTACAATATTTATGTAATAACTAACAAGCTAATAGGTTAACACCTATATTAGCTACTTACATTACATTAGTATACCATACTTATTTGATCATACACGTACTATTTGGTCATTCCTTACCATATAGTAGTGTAACATACTTTGGTTGTGGTATTAATAATATTTAAAAGCATGTATTGGTAAACACCCATGTCATTGCACAAACAGACCAATAGAACTACAATATAATACACTCATTAATCCATTCCTAGTAAAATGCATAAAAAAAAGCATTTTTTTTTTATAAACAAAGTAGCTTTTATGGTTTTGTAGTCTTTTATAGCCTCATTGGTCAATACCTAATATAATGCAGGCCAAGAAGAATAATGAAACACTACTATATATTATATGGTTTGGCAATCACATATATAGGTATTGGTAAATACCTACTAAAATGAATAAACATACCAATAAAACTACAATATAATATACTCAGTAATCTATTTCTACTAAAATGCATAACAAAAGCATTTTTTAAAAAACAGAGTAGCTTTTATGGTATTGTAGTCTTTTATAACTTCATTGGTCAATACCTAATATAATACAGGCCAAGAAGAATAATGAAACACTACTATATATTATATGGTTTGGCAATCATATATATATGTATTGATCAATACCTACTAAAATGAACAAATATACCAATAGAACTACAATATAATATACTCATTAATCTATTTCTAGTAAAATGCATAACAAAAGCATTTTTTAAAAATCAGAGTAGCTTTTATGGTATTATAGTCTTTTATAACCTCATTGGTCAATACCTAATATAATGCAGGCCAAGAAGATTTTGTATCATACTACAGTATTTTAATGGTTTGGTAATCACATATACATTAATTGGTCAGTACATACTAAAATGCACATAATACATACCATCAGCAGCAGAGTACAACCACCCAAATGCTCTTGTGGTTCTTGGGACTTGAAATCTTCTATGGCAATAACCATACTATCCAGCACAAATTTTGCAAAATTCCAGTGACGTATACCATCTTCTTCAATAACCAGATGAAGCCATTCTTTAGGTGGTTGTTCTTCCAAGTTTGGGCAGATTAAAGCTGTCATGAGAAATATGGTGAACATTACACCAAAGTTTAGATCGTCATGACCAACTTTCTTTAGCTCAGATGCCATTCCTTTAATTTTCAGCGTCGTAAACCTATGCAGTGCTTCATCAACCGCATTCTTGTCCTCTAAATCTGCGCTATCAATGTCAAACCCATGATCCTTAAAACCCAAAAGGTACTCTACATGGGTAGGTGTGAATTCTAATTTTTCACCATATACCCCAAGAGTTCTTGTGGGTGGATCAAAGTGATCAATAACCCACTTGCACATCGATTTCCTCGTTGTTTTGGTGTTGTAATGCAAAAGGAAACCAAATCCCATAGCCTCCAACCTCTCCTTCTTTTCTCTTGGAAAGCCTTTAACAAGTGCACCAAATTCCTCTAGGTGACACATTGGTTCCCAAGTTGCCTACAAAAACATTGTGACATGTGGTGTTATGATAAGAACAAAATAGGGAATGTCCAGTGAAGACATGAGGACAATCAAAATATATAAAACGTACCCCTTTTTGCTTTTGTTGAACTTCTAACAGGGAATGGTTTAAGTTTCTTCTCTTGCGTAGGAGCAGGAGCAGAACTTGGAGTTGCCTTTCTCTTTCGGGAAGACATTCTTATACTTGTTTCTGCTTTCACATTTATAGAGTGAAATCAGATTTATTTTCTACTCAATAAAATTTAAAGTGGGTTTCCACATAATACTTCTAAAAAAATAACACTACATACAATTCATACCTAAGAACCCAATTTAGTTTCCACATAATACTTCTAGACAAATAACACTACATACAAAATTCACTCGAACATACATAAGAACCCAATTTAAACCAATGCACTCGAACAATCTTAAATTTAAAGTGACTAAAAAATAAAAAATTTAAAAAGTTGTATAATTCTAGAGAAATAACACTACATACATAATTCAAGTAAAATTGTAATCTATGCATCGCAATGAAATTAACCACACTCTTCCAATCAAGTAACATATACATTCACACACTTTACATAATTTTATTATATTCATCAACACCTAAAAAAATAAAATAAAAACCCAAATGATCCAATTGTAGTTCAGAATCACTACTAATTTGACATCATTATTCGTAAAATTAACCCATCCAACAACTAATTATAATCTTCAATCAATTACCTAAGAACCCAATTTACTTTCTACATAACACTTTACATCATTATTTGGCTAAATTTTGAAATTGTAAATAGTTAATATAGAGAAAACGCATGCAAAAATCGAAATGCAAGTACACAATTTACTTAAATTACAGTAAGTATGGTTGTATAGAACTTACAACGCTTGAGTGGGTTTAAGTTCGAAAAGGTTGTCGTCGATGTCGCCGGCTCCGGCACCGTTGTTTTTCAAAGTTGAATGCTTAATGATGAAGGGAAATAGAGAGAGAAAGGGAAATAGAGAGACAAAGTGCAATAGAGAGAGAAAGTGAATAGTAACCGCCCTTGGTAAATGTGAGAAATTTAATTTTGACAGTTGTAAATTTTTTTGCTTTTCAATTTGTTTTTTTTTAATAAAAAGAAAGAAAAAAACAATTATAATATTCCACCACATATCCTTTAAATATGGTAAAGATATATATGCAAATAAAAAAAATTAAATATCCACAACTAATATTTATTCATTCTTGATAAATTAAAATTGGTATTGTGCTACACTAACATTCTTAACTACATATTTATTTTCTCATACTTGATAAAAATGGAATTGGTATTGACCAACAATATCATTTTTAACTACATATTGATGTTCTCATAAGTGATAAAATTGAAAGCAATCATATTTTTAGGGGTCCGCGGTTTAATAAATTTCAATATTTTGTTTGGGTTTGAATAAACTTCGTCATATATTATAATCAAACCTTATATATTCCCGTCAAAAAAAAAACCTTTATATATTGATCAAACATATAGTACATCTTTTTTATTGGAAAAAAATAATAGGGTGAATAACTGTGAAGTTACTAACATAAAGGATAATATTCGAAAATCATTAAATATACTATATTCGTACATGTTCCACGATTTACAAAAGGTAGTTATTTTTTTTGAATTTAATTTATTTTTTTTCCTTTTTTTTTAACAAAAAAAAAAACCTAATATGATAACCACTAACGCACAAAGTGGTATTGATTGATACTAATATCTTATTTTAGTTACTACTACCATGGAATATTATATATTTTTCCAAATAATATCTTATTTTATTTAGTTACCTAAAATATTTCCTTTAATACTCAGATCACTTTCTTATTCAAAATTTAAATTTATAGACTCAAATATTCATTAAGAACATCATGTTACATTGGTTTTTAGTTTGAGGTTTTAAGCTCATAATGGATTTTTTCGTAGAAGACGACCTTTCTGATGTAGATGAAACTCATACACATCAACTTTCTTGTGATTCTAAGGTATGTGTTGTTGCAAAAATTATTTTTTTTTTACTCAGAAGAAAACACAATTTATAGGCCATTTACTGACGTCAAATTCCTTGTTGTTGTATATGAAAATCTTTCCACAAGGCAAATAATCAAGAGATTATTGAGATTCAAGGGCTTCAGGTATTAATTAAGTTTATGACTATGGAATTGTCCTATATTTATATTGGTCATTACTTTATATTTTAATAAACTATGTACAGCTAAACAACACAATCTTACTATAAATACATGACCTATATTATGTAGGATGATAGCAATGGAGATGATAGCAATGGAGATGAGGGCGATGGACATGGTGGCAATGGAGATGAAAATGATAGAGATGAGGATAACAATGAAGATGATGACAACAATGAATCAGAAACTGAAAACTATGAGATGCCAAAAGCTTTTAGAGGTCTAGAAGTTTGGGAAGAAATTGGCAAGAGATTAGAGGATTTTACATTTGAAGACATGCAACGATTATCATTCAAAGATCTTCAAACATGCATTGATTTTTACAAGATGTATGCCAAGTGTATGGGGTTTGGAATACGGCGTAAGCATACAAGATTAAGAAAACTTGATGGCCATCCGACCTCACAAATCATTTGGTGCAATAGAGAGGGTTTTCGAGAAGCGAAACACCTTCTCAGACCTGATAGGAAGCGTAAGGAAAAACCAATTACTCGATGCGGTTGTACTGCAATGATTAATTTCAAATGGGATCACCTTAAAGATTCGTGGTATGTGAAAAGTTTTGTGGCTGAGCATAACCATGCCTTAATCCCCATGAACCAGGTTTATTTTGAAAGGTCGGTTTTAAATTCTGTTTAAAACAAATATAATTATAAATAAAGTAATCGATTAATTGAGCATCAATTGTAACTGTTTTATTTGAATTGAAATATACAGGACATTCAGAGATGTTAGTGAAGCCGATCAGATTTATATGAAGTCTTTGATTGATGGAGTGAAACCATCTATCACTATGAGAAACATTGCACGTAATGCTGGGGGATTACGTGGAGTAGGATTCTTAAAGAAAGATTTGTATAATGCTTGTGAGAAGTTCAAGAAAGAAGAGATAAAAGATGGTGATACCGAAACCGTCTTAGCATATTTGCTTGGTAAAACGGCTTCTGACCCTAATTTTTTCCTTAGATATACTCGTCATCCAAAAAATGGGATAGAAAAAATGTTTTGGTGTGATGGGATTAGTCAAGGGGATTACAAGGCGTTCGGGTCGGTAATTGCATTTGACACAACTTACAAAGTCAACGCATACCAAAAACCCTTTGTTGTTATTGTTGGTGTGAACCATCACAGAAAGACCATGCCATTCGGTGTTGCTCTTGTAACAAACGAAAAAACAGATACCTACATATGGGTGTTAAAACGGTTAAAAAAGGATGGTGGCGGTGTTACTCCTCTACTGTTGTCACAGATGGGGACAAGTCTATGGCAAGCGCAATTGAAGAAGTATTTCCAAAGGCTCATCACAGACTATGTCTTTGGCATCTAATGCGTAACATCAAAGGCTACACAAATAGGCGGTTTTGTAATGGGTTCATGAAATGCGTGGACGGAGCTCGGATACCAGCTGAGTTCGAGGAGGCGTGGGAAGATTTAATGAAAGCATACCCTAAAGTCAGAGATAAAAAGTGGGCAAAAGATCTTTACAGTGTCAAAAGCAAGTGGGCTGAGGCTTTTATGGTTGGACAGTTTTATGCAGGTAAGTGTAATTAGAATTATTTGTATTCACAAGATTGATAATAGGTAATAACCTAAAAATACTTGAATCAGTTCGTATGTCAGTTGAGAGGAAATTCGATTAAAAATGTTATGACTGATATTTTACATAATGTGTGTATAAATAACCTTTATGGTCCGTATCATTTTTTAATTATAATTTGTCATTACCTAAAAAATGATTTATGAATGCATATTTTAAACTGTATTTATATATTTTCAATAATAATTAAAATGGTCATTACCTAATCCCATGAACCATTTTTTAAACAGCATTATATAATTAATTTGTGAATGCAGGAATGAGAAGCACCTAACGATGTAAGTCCATGAATAGCTCACTGAAAACGGTCATAACATCAAAAATAATGTTGTACCGGTTTGTTGAGCTGTATGATCAAGTTCTAGAACTTTTAAGGTTTGAAGAAGATCAAGATGATTACATCTCCACACACAAGTTCCCTGTTATTGGTGGTGTCTTGACTGAAATAAAAACCCAAGCTGCGCGAACTTACATAAGGAACTCGGTTATGAATCAAGGCACATAGTTACTAAAATGGAGGAAGACGAAATGCATGTTGATGGGCCTTCTGTTAGTTTTTGGTTAAATGACTGTGTGGTGAAAGAGTATAAGTACGTTGTTTCAACAAGAAACTACAATCGATGGTTTGTTGTTGCATGAAACTTGAGTCAATAGGGATTCCATGTCAACATATGTTTGCATGCATGAAACATTATGGAATGGTTAAGCTACTAGCGGGTGTAATACTCCGAAGATGGACAATTAGAGCAAAGCTGCATCTTTCTGATAATTACAAGCAATTGCAACTAAAGAAGGCAAACGATCAGTCATCATCAAATGGACGCTTTGCATTTCTAAGTGTATTGAGCAACCAGCTTTGTAGGATGGTGTCTACCTCTTATGATCGATCAATTTCGCTAAAGGACAAACTAGCAAAGATGATTTTGGAGGTTGAGAAAGAAAAAACATTCCCTAAGGAAAAAGATATTATTATAGAGCAAAAGTTTGTCAAAAAAAAGGGAAGGGGAAGACCCAAAAGTATGTTTGATGAACTTGAACCCGCTGAGGAGAAAACTTACAGTTTGGATGGACATGATCTAGATGAGGAGGGTAATGACATAGATGAAGCGTTTCCTAATGTCACTGACCATCCTACAATTATTAAACGGGGTGGGTTTTTTGACCTCTTAATACAGTTAATGCCAAGGACATACCAGCCGAGTGATGTTGCAAGAGCTACTGATAGTTACGAGGTTAGCATATTCGAGAGAATGCCCACCATTTTCGATTGGGATCCGAATGTCAGCTATTAGAGATATTATCAAGTTGTTTAATTTTTTTTTAAGATATCAAGATGTTTTATTTTAGTTTATTGTTAATGTTGAGACTTTCGAATGTTCAATAAATTGTTTTGTGTTTTTAAATTTTTACGGTAGGTATTGACCTGTTATTTTATTCTGGATTACCTGTTTGTTCTCATTCTAAATGTTTAACTTCATATGTACGATCAACATTCTCCATACATAATTTTCGTTCTACTATTGTAATTAGTCTTCAAAATCTGTCCATAAGTAATAAATGTTCATAAATAAATCTTGAATTACAGCTTTCTGATTTTTTTAAAGGGCGTTTTAAAAATTTTAACAAAAATAACATATGACATGATTTTTTTTTGTAGTAGGTTTATTGTACATATATTCAAATTAGTTAAGTACTTTAGTTCTATGTATCTTTACCATGTACGTTTCCCTTGATTGTAGGCAACAGTTTGACTTGTAACGTTTATAGTTGTATATATTTTCCTAAGAATTGTTACCTTAATTATAGTAAATAAAAACCTAACCAAATATATTTAATAGAATAATTTTTTTATTTTACAACCAATTAAATTAGTTAACAAAAATAACAAATAATATGATTTTCTTATAGTAGGTTTATTGTACATATCTTTAAATACGTTCCCTTGATTGTAGGCTATAGATAGGCTATAGTTTGAATTATATATATTTTCCTACTAACTGTTACCTTAAATAAAAACCTTATCTAATATAACTACTTGATTAATTATAGCAAATAAAATATTTAAAATTTGGCACGAATTTGATTAGATTTTACGCATACATTATCTTCACTGAAATTTTTTAATTTATTTGTTATTTTTATTTATTAAGTTAGAATTATTATTTACACACATATTTATTTTCTTTCTTTATTTCTTTTATTTCTGTCCTTCTCAATTAAAAAATATTGCGATTATGTTGATTATTGAATAAAACAAGTATTAACCTATACAAATATGTATCAAAACCAACAAAGGAAAGAAATTATATATTATTGAATATTAAGATTACAAAAATGATAGCCGTAAACCTAATGGTTTACTCCGATATTAAGAAAAGATTTAATTAAAAGACATATTACTTTAAATAAATTTATAAATTAAGAGCATTTAATCCTCCAACGTAAGATCAACAAAATCAATAAATTTTGTTATTTTGGGTATTTTCTCTGGACGTTTGGTGAAGGTCGTTGGTGCCCATGTTTCTTCATTTGAAACCATATCATAAAAGGTTTCCGCAACCTCAAGCACACGCTTTCCATTCTCATTCAAAGGAAACTTTTCGAACATATGTTTCTCTTTGTAATATGAGTTACGCTCGAGCCGAAATATTTTTTTAAGAAATTCTGGCTGACCTTCAATCAAAGGCTCAATTTGTGCTACACCACATGCTAAGATTAGTCTTTTCATAAATATACGAAATTAGATATAATCTCTAGCTTGACTGACATCATCACCAAGTATCCCTGGAGGAGGTCCACCATCTGGGTTGTCATCGTATGGCATTCCATTATCCATACGATACACCGTAACTTCATCGCGAAAAATCATTTGAACAGTAGGTAATTGCCCACGGGCATACAAGATGTCACAAATTTTTTTTTCGCCAATAGTGTAAAGTAAATGTGAAATAAATACACTAAAGTGAATGATGTCAAACAAATGATCAAAGACTGCAATTGGATCAGGAGCCATTTGTGAACTTAATGAAATGATAAAGAGAAATAGTGGTTGGATTCAAAGAGAAAGCAATTGTTAGTGAAAGTGTGGTGCGTTGTTGTGGCTTATTTGCTACGTATTTATAGTATGAGTATGGCGCCAAAAATTTTCGATTTTCCCACCAAAATGTGCCTCCCTCCAAAATATGTTCATTGACTTCTATTCAAACCTTAAGTGGTTCGATATTAGATTGCGAATAGTAAAAATATAATAAATCCAACAAAATAAATATTATAACTATAATAATGAGAAAAATATAAGTAAAAAACTTTGAATTTTAAAGAGGGTATTATTAATTTATAATTAAAATTGATCACTCATGAATGGCTGTATAGGAAACATTAATAAAATATACCAGATAACACATGAAAGAATTATAAACATGCAGTAGGTCGTGCTTACAATAGAAGGAAAATAAAATAAACAACATTAATTTGGTCGTGCACTATACTTTTATTGGTCATTACAATTCATGGTTGACTGTGCCAATTACTAACTACAATTTAATCAATCTCAACAATAACAAATTGAGATATTATGTAGCATGTCTGACATTGAAAAATATTTTGTCATTTTGCATTCTATAATTAATCATTACATGTTACATTTGAGTGAACTATTGTTTATAGTATAAGTACAGGAGTTTTTATGCATTTATCTAACTAATATCAATAACTAATATCAATTGATTGGTAATGACCTATGATAAAATTCTACACTACATATTGATTAGAGTAAATTAAAATCAACAACTAATATCAGCATTTATTATAAGTTATAATATATTTCGTCATATATTATAGGCATACCTTATATATTAATCAAAGGAGTTAAAACAGATAGTTATTAATCTTAGAAAATATTAAATCTAATATATTAAATCTATTTTTTTTTGAAACATCATTAAATCTAATATATTCACACGATTTAAAACAGGTAGTTATTTATCTCAGAAAATAATTTTCCTATTTTTTTTCTTTTTGGTAAAATAAAAGGGAAACTGATAACCACTAAAACAAAGTGATAGTGTTGGATACATATATGCCATAATTCTAGGCACTTTCTTTGGAAAATTTAGGGTATGGTGCAACATGCAGCGGTTTTTTTTTTTTAAACAAAAAATTAAACATACAAAATAGTTAAGTGGTTTGATATTAGATTGCGAATAGTAAAAATGGCATAAATCCAACAGAATACATATTATAACTATTTAATAATGAGAAAAATATAAGTAAACAACTTTGAATTTTAAAAAGGGTATTATTTAAGTTAAACATATTCATAATACATGTTCACACGATAGGAAGTTTAATTTTTAAATTTTTATTTTCTATTTTTGGTGAAATAAACTAGATCATGCCATTATTCTAGGCACTTCTTTTGGATTATGTAGGATATGGTGGTATCACGAAATGATATTTTTGGATTTAAATTACAATTAAATTTATTTTATTATTTTTCCTTTTTTTTGGGTGGAGGGGGGGTTTAATTTAAAAAAAGAAAGGATAAAAAATGTAAAATTTCTAATTGAATAATGACACATGTTCACATTATGAATCAATAGTGAAATAAGGAGTATCAAAAGTAAGGCTACAATTAATGTCGTGTTTACATACCATAAAAAGGAAAACATAATATTATATATTAATATTAGTAATCACCATTCATGACAATACTCATTACATAGAAATTG